CTTACGTTGCCTCTTCACTACACTAGCATCAATAGCACTTGATGGGCACTTGGAAGCCATTTCGAATGGTTATAGTACAATTTTAGAGCAAATACACTTATGCACGCACGATTGATGTGAAGTCATAACAGAGACTGGCTTGGCGTTGCTTGGGGACGCTGTGACGTTCCTCGAGTGAGGGCAGCGAGCCGAGCTGAGAGAGTGTAGCGCGGCCAGACAAGAGCGGATCACCGGGACTTTAAATGAATTTTTAGTCTCTAAAGTTCAGCGACGTAGTACCGAAACAGCGTTGAGCAGGACGACGTTAAGCGACAACTTACTGTATACAGCAAGTCCCCGTTGAACGAAAGGGTTAAGATCCACTAAAAAGCTTTCGTTAGGTGGATTACGTTTACTGAAATAATTTTCCCCAAATAAATTAATGTAATAAGGGGGGATGTGTCCCTGTACTAAGCTCTGTGACAAAATAATTGCAACGCATCAACTACTGTAGATAAAAACAAAAAAACATGTAAATCATAAAGGTACATAAACAGAATTGACAATTGTTGTGTATGAGAATATTAATTCATTCACTATAGTAATGATACACTGTTTCTTATTATGTTATCATAGGAAAATGCATGGTACAGGGGACCCCCCAAATTGGTGTTTAATAGTGATTAATCATGGCATTGTAGCTACGCTTGACTCTTCACTGTTACCACCAGGTCACTGGGGGGGAGGGGGGACATATTTACTTGTGTACAAAGAAATGTATATTCCCTTTATGTATTTGCCCTTAGGAAATTTTTTTCTTTTACCTGTACAGCAATCCCTCAATTAACGATGTTCTTACAAGTGGACCTCAACATGTTTTCGCTTGCATTTGGCGGTCCACCAGCTGTAGTATTAGTCCGCCAATACAGTAATCAGTTCTAGGGCTTAAATTCCTTACTATTTTAGTAAATATCAAGAAGTTTATACTATTCAATAATTTTAAAAGTTTAATATTAAATTTTTTAGTCATTTTAACAATTATTGAACATAATTGAAGTACAGGAAACTAGTTTTATGCGGTCCAAACAGCCTGTCAACACACCAAACAGGCGTCAGTCTCTGTGTCTTTTCAGTGGAGGTAACATCTTGCTTGAGACTCTCTTCAACTAAATGCTTTTTTTCTGTGCTTCCAAGGAAATTATTGGTCATTTTGAAATTTATTTTACATATTGACAATATATAATGCAGTGCAGTGTTGATTTAAAGAAAATAATCTTGAATTACACTAAGAGAACTAAAATTTTATGGGTGAAATGGCGCCATGGGGTGACTTCTCTTCCACCCCAATGCCTTCTTTTCTCCCTTCTCCTCCACCCCCATTCTCATTCCCATCACCATCCAGGAGCCATCTACATACACACCTCAAAGTAAGTATACTTTACTACCTTTTTAGTTGATTTTAGGCAATTTTCGGTGAGCTGGAACCAATTACCCAAAAACCCATTGAAACAATGGTTTCGGCTAACGAATTTTTCGGTTAACGAGCAACTTTCTGGAATGAATTGTGCTCGTTAACCGAGGGACCACTGTATTGTATATACAGTAGTACCCCGATTTACACGGTCAATTGAACCCACAGGGTGCCGCGGAAAGTGAAAACCGCGTAAAGTGAACAACAGAACATATGGGATTAATTCCAATAGAGACTGGCCCGACCCCCAAACTTCACTTTTTCCGACACAATACCTATGTTGTAGTAAAAATAACATCCAAATTTTATGATGGTATGCTCACACAATTAATATTTAAGAGAAATACAGTCGCCAGGTTAATATACATTCAAATAATGGACTCAAATCCCACCCCCCCCCCTTCCCAGCTCACTGGCCCCTACCTCTCTGTGAAATGATTGGGTGAAACACTAGATTTTAACGTTTAGTAATAAATAATACCTCAGACTAAAGTTAGGATAATATAATTGACATTTCTGGATTCCTTGCAGGTCAGGGAATAGTTTGAATGTAAACTTCATATATTTTGCACAAAAGATAAAATACTTGCTTTGTGTAAACCAAATTATTACATTAGATCTAAAATTTGTATGTCTAATGCAAAATCCATGATGTTTATATTCAAAATGATCATCATATTGTAAGAATTCCAGCAATGTAAATTATATTCTGGCCGGGCAATTTGTATGAATTTTATGAGCTAAAACATATATCTTCATTAAATAAACAAAGAAATATTCTTGAAGGACACTATCTGTCAATCAAAATACTCGGCCCTAGCTGGGTCGGTCCCTCCCTCCCTCCCTCCCCCACCCCCACCTTCCCTCCCTACCAGAGAAGCTTTGGGAGAAAATAGTAATTTACATTTTTAGTAGTAAATAATAACTCAGACTAAAGTTAGGATAATATAATTGACATTTCTGGATTCCTTGCAGGTCAGGGAATATTTTGAATGTAAACTTCATATACAGTATTTTGCACAAAAGATAAAATATTTGCTGTGTGTAAACCAAATTATTACATTAGATCTAAAATTTGTATGTCTAATGCAAAATCCATGATGTTTATATTCAAAATGATCATCATATTGTAAGAATTCCAGCAATGTAAATTATATTCTGGCCGGGTAATTTGTATGAATTTTATGAGCTAAAAAAAAAAATAATTATACAGTGACCCCTCGTTTAACGAACGCCTCGGTTAATGAAATTTCGGTTAACGAACTGCCTTCCATAAGGATCTTCAATTCGCTTAACGAACAAAAATTCGGTTAACGAATTTCTTACGAACCAACCTCAACATGTTTTCACTTGCACTGACTGGGCAACCAGCTTTAGTATCAGTCCGCCAATACATTAATCGGTTCTAGGGCTTAAATTCCTTACTATTTTAGTAAATATCAAGAAGTTTATACTATTCAATAATTTCAAAAGTTTAATATTCAATTTTTTAGTCATTTTAACAATTATTGAACATAATTGAAGGTAAAGTGACAAGTTTAATGCGCGGCATCCAGCCTCTTAACACAGCAAACAGGCGTTAGTCTCTCTCTGTTTTCACTGGAGGTAACATCTTGCTTGAGACTCTCTTCAACTAAACACTTTTTTTCTGTGTTTCCAAGCAAATTATTGGTCATTTTGAAATATATTTTACATATTGACAATATATAATGCAGTGCAGTGTTGATTTAAAGAAAATAATCTTGAAATACACCAAGAGAACTAAAATTTTATGGGTGAAATGGTGCCATGGGGTGACTTCTCTTCCACCCCAATGCCTTCTCTTCTTCCTTCTCCTCCACCCCCATTCTAATTCCCATCATCATCATCATCATCCAGGAGCCTTCTACATACACACCTCAAAGTAGGTGAACTTTTCTACCATTTTTGTTGAATTTAGGAAATTTTCAGTGAGCTGGAACCAATTACCCAAAAACCCATTGAAACAATGGTTTCGGTTAATGAACTTTTCGGTTAACGAACGACCTTCTGGAACGGATTGAGTTCGTTAACCTAGGGGTCACTGTACTTCACGCGTATATGAGTAGATGCACCGCGGAAAGTGAAAGTCCGGTTCTGGCAAGGTACCGCGTAAATGAGAAATCGCGGAAAGTGAAACCGTGTAAAGCGGGGTAATACTGTACAGTAAGTGTGTGTGTGTGTGTGTGTGTGTGTGTGTGTGTGTGTGTGCGTGTGTGTTTGTGTACACACACAAACAAAACACATACAAATAAATAATAATGGGAAAATACTCTCACAAATAATCAGAAACAAATTTATGAAAAATGTGACATGTCTACCCTCAAGTCTGTACTTTATTTATTAAAGCATGGACTTGAGGGAAGACTGTCACATTTTTAATATTTTTTTTTTCTGATTACTTGTGAGAGTATTTTCCCATTTTTATTTATTTGTATGTGTTTTGTTTGTGTCTCTCTACATACAAACATATATTTACAATACAGGTAAAGGAAATTACTGTCTCTAGAACGAATGGCTCCCTGCCCCAGCCGCAAAAATGCCAGCAACTTTAAAACTGCTCACAGATATTCTTGGGTACATCCCGGGTGTCATCCACGAATAATAGAGGAACGCGAAATAAAAATCCACAAATTTGGGGGGTCCCCTGTATATATAATCTGTTTATCACTGAGCCTATCACTGTTTTCAAATTAGACTACATACAAGATATGTAATTCGCCCATACGTACACCTGGATACACCTGGCAAACAGGAGCAGGTAAAGGGAGAGTGACCCCAAGTTGAGCATTGTTTGCAGTTGTAATTTTCTTAGCTCCCTGCCATATTTCACTGTATTTGCTGTTATTATTAATGCTTGCTGATAGAATAGTGTTTAATAGTGATTAATCATGGCATTGTAGTTAGGTTAGACTCTTCACTGTAACTAACAGGCCATTGGGCCAAGCTGGGAGGCGTTATGGTTGTTTTTCAACTCGTATTTTTGGTTAAATATATGTAACATTCTTTATTTATTTTTACTCAGTTACATGCACACACCATCCTACATACATATTGTGAAAAAAATATAAGAAATAATTGTCTTAAGGGCAAACACAAAAAAGGAATATACATTTCTTTGCCCATGAGTTAGCTGGTTCAGTGAGGGAAATTTGTTAACAAACACGGAATTTAGGGAATTTTCTGGAAAAATTCCAAGCAAATTTTAGTTATAGCTATTGGAGAGTTCTGGGTTTGAGGGATTCCAGCTAACGGAGATATTACTGTATCACTGTATCTACATTCCAGGATATTTTCCATAATGAGATGGCTGACAAAACCTTTTGAGAAAATAAAAAAAATTAGAAAAATTCAATGGTTCCCAAAAATGGTCAATGCAATACCAGAATATAAATTCTGGCCAGGTTTAACTTTTGTGAATGATATATACCTCCCGGATCATAATATTACTTACACTTAAGACACTGAAGAATATAGATATTCAGACAAATGGTAAACAACAACAAAATCAAACTATAACTTGTGAAGTTACCTGATAACTTGTGTCCACATGAAGTCTTCACATCATCATCAATAGTGACAACATCAACTTCTTGCAGTCCAACCTGGCCATTCACTGGCATACAGTTATCAACATCTTGCACCAATTTTTCTAGATTGCCCAAGTATGATAAGGTTTTCTCAGGTTTTGTGCTCACAGATAAAGAAAATTGATCTGAAAGAGATAAGAAATGAATGATGATATGACAAACAAGTCTCATTAAATATTCTATCAAATCAGCATTCATTGGGAGTCCATAATTTTAGAAAATTTACTGAACTTTGAAAAAAAATAAAAATTTAGCACATGATGTTCTACTTTCTTGGCTTACAAGGAATATGACTGAGACCTTGAGAAAACTGTCAAATGTCCTGGTTAAAAGGTGACTTCTACAGTATTCTCATACAAACTGAATGACAAGCTCTTGACTATGAGAAAACCCTCCAAACACAGATTATGATGAATCAGATTTGAAAATCCTCCCAAAACCACCTTACATGTTTTGAACACATAACATTTTCATTCCTCCTTTGCATAGCAAGATGACCTGTAGACTTAAACACCTATATATACAGTGGTCCCTCGGTTAACTAACGGTTCGATTGATGAAATTTCGGTTAACGAATTAGCTCCCACGAGGATTTTCAGTTCGATTAACGAAATCCTTATGACAAACACGTTTTGTTGTGAGCATCAGCTGATTGGCTAGTCCGCCAATACAGTAATCGGTTCTATGTTTACATTCGTTTCCAGTGGAGTAAATATCAAGAAGGTTGCGCTCTTTAATATTTTTGCATTTTTTATATTAAAATTATTACGGTAGTCATTTTAAAATTTAGTTAACATATTGATAATACATACAGTACAGGGAACTAGTTTTTTGTGCGCCCATCAGCCGTTTGACTCACCTGCCAAAGCGTCTCTGTTTAACTTTGTTTACAGTGGAGGAAACATCGTGTTTGTTGGTCTCTTGAATACAGTATATTTACGTTTTTACATTAAAATTATTGGTCATTCTGAAAATTAGTTAATATATTGATAATATATAGCGCAGTGCAGAGTTGATTTAAATAAAATAATCTTAAATTACAGCTAGTGAACTTAAAATTTTATTGGTGAAATTACTGCATCAAGCATGGGTCCCAAGAAATCTAGAAAGGCAATTTCATTTCAAGTTAAACCGGAAATTAAGAAACATGAACAAGGCATTAGAACCAATGTACTGAGTAAAGAATATGGCATGTCGGCATCAACTGTGTCTACAATTATTGCGCAGAGAGACAAATTTAAAGTGAGAGATAAATCTACCAGAGTGTTTAAAGGTACATCATTAATTCCAGAAACAGAGAGGTTACTTCTTATTTGGATTAAAGAAAAACAAATGAAAGGAGATTCCATTTCTACTGAATTTATTTGTGAAAGACCCAGGGAAATATACGAACATTTGAAGGAAGATCAACCTAGTTCTTCTGAAACTGAGTTTGAAGAGTTTAGGGCCAGCAAAGGCTGGTTCAATAAGTTTAAGAAAAGAAGTGACATTTATAGTGTTGGTAGGCATGGTGAAGCTGCCAGTGCAGATGAAGAAGGAGCAAAAAAATTTGTAGTGGAGTTCATGGAACTGATGGATGAAAAGAATTATCTTCCACAGTGTTAAATGTGGATGAAACCTTGCTGTTCTGGAAGGGACATTCATTTCCAGAGATGAAGCTTCTTTACTGGGGCATAAACCCATGAAGGACCGTCTCACTCTATTGCTTGGTGCCAATGTTTCAGGGAATTTCCGACTGAGCCTATGCTTGTCTACCACTTGAGAACCTCAGGGTGTTCAAGCAACAAAAGGTGGTAAGAGGACAACTTGGAGTTTATTGGAAGTCAAACCGTTAGGCATGGGTAACAAGACAGCTCTTTAATGATTGGGCAGTTGAGGTGTTTTGCCCATCTGTGAAGAGTTACCTAACCACCAATAAACTTCTTTTAAAGGCTCTTCTCCTTCTGGATAATGCCCCTGGTCATGACCCTGAACTTGCCAGCACTTTGGAGGCTCTATTTGACTTTGTCAAAGTGTTGTTTTTGCCTCCCAACACTACATCAATCATACAGCCAATGGACCAGAATGTGATCAGCAACTTCAAGAAGTTGTACATGAAGAAAATGTTCAGTAGGAGTCATCAGGCAACTTCCACTGATCCTGATCTATCACTGGCACAGTTTTGGAAGATGCAATACAACATCCTGGAGGCTGTAAAATTGATTGTGTCAGCATGGCAAGAAGTCTCCATTCGATCCCTGAATTCTGCATGGAAAGCACTGTGGCCAACAGCAGTCCATGATTTTGAGGGATTTGAGGAAGAAACGGAGTTGGACAAGGAGATTGTGTCCATTGGTCATTCAATGGGACTCGAAGTGGAGGAGGATGATGTTGAAGAGCTTGTGATGTCTCATGAGCAGGAACTTACCCCCGAAGATTTGAAACAACTGGATGAGATGCTAGAAACAGACAGTGGTGAGGAGGAAAAGGAAAGTGATGACATATGTCTTCTTCAGACTTAAAAGATGTTGTTCACCACTGGGAGATGTTCAGGAAACTGGCTTCAAGGCACCCTGATGTGGAAACAACAGAACCGATTTTGTTTACTGTGGAGGACAAAGTGGTCTCCTTCTTCAAGAACCAGCTAATGATCAGGAGAAGAAATGCCCCACAACGTAAAATTGACAGTTTCTTCTCTAAAAGGCACAATATAAATTTACAATAACACATTTGCTGTAATCAGACATATCTAGTTGCCTCAACAATTGCAACCCCAGTTGCAATTGGGGTTGCAATTTCAAATTCTGTGGCATTACTAAGAATAACTAAGTCTCTGGTGCATTCTAAGATTAAGAGAGAAAACGGAGGACTCAGGCATCCTGATGTGAGAGAAAATGGACTCGTATGATGGAGGACCAAATAAAAAAAGCATAGCTACATCTTTTGTGGACTACAGTATTAAGAGTACCCTTTTCATCACTTTGTAATAAATCTAGCCATGCCTATGTGTGTTTATGATATTTACCATAACATTATATATATATTTAGTGGGTCTAAATGGTCGTAAAATGGGAAACTTGGGGTTGGGTCTTGGGTGCCTGGAACCAATCAGAATAAATCCCATAGGTTCTGTACTTTCGTTATCGGCGGGGTCCCAATTAGGCGCGATAACCAAGGGATGACTGTACTGTACTGTATATACTTGTGACACTGGCCAGTTGCTTCTGGTGTTATGGTACAGGGGTACCAAGTGACAGCACTAGGATCCCGCTTCCTCTATCAAGGAATAAACAATTAAAATTTAAATTGAAAAAAAAAACATTCAAATAATGGGACGTAGCGAACCTAAATGGCCCTAGAGCGGGCACAGTCACGTATGCATCGCGTATTCTTATAGATTGTGCTGCCAGGCGTACGTTATCTAGTGAATTTAGTCAATATTGTACAGTAACAATGGACCTAAGTGCAAACCTGTATTGTACATGTACTAAATGATTACGGTACTAAAATTGTTATGTCTATTGCAAATATAGCTTGTTTATACAGGTATTCAAATAAATTACTATCTTACAAGAATCCCTCCAATGTAAGTTATATTCACCCAGGTCGTTTGGGTGGCAAATTATGAGAAGAGCTTAGTCACTCTTAAGTAATGATAAATAAACACACAGGCAGGCCTTCAGCGCCAACTGTCAAATCTTATCTCAAATAAATAAACAAACAAACGCCAGACATTCTGTCACCTCACCTCCCCCCCCTCTTCCCACACGCTACTTCCTTCCTTGTGTTCCCAGACAAAAGATTGGTGATTTCTTTATGTTTATTTTATATAATATCTCAGACTAAAGTTAGGATAATATAATTTGCATTGCTGAAATCCTTGCAAGACAGAGATTAATTTAAATATAAGCATCATATATTTTGCTCAAGATATAAAAAATGTAGTACATTAGTGTACAATACTGTAGTACATTTTATAAAAAGTTTTTCAACTGTATTTTTGGGTAGATTTACATAAATTTCTTCATTTATTTTCATCCATTTACATGCACACACCATACTAAAATAAACGTAAAAGAAATAAATGACCTTAGTGCAAAGCTGGAGTGCACATGTACTAATTTGATTACGGTACTAAAATTGTTATGTCTAGTGCGAATTACAACATGTTTATATTCAAATAAATCAGTATCTTACAAGAATCCCAGCAATGTTAATTATATTCTCCTAGGTCATTTCACTGGCATTTTAAAATGAAAGAAGCTTAGTAGGACTGTTAAATAAACACACAGAGACCTTCGGCTCAAACTTATCACCTCAACCCCCCCACCCCTCGCTGGCTGGCTGTCCCTCCCAGCCAGGGTTTTAGGCTTACAGTTTTTATCTTATATAATATCTCAGACTAAAGTTAGGAGATTATAATTTGCATTGCTGGAATCCTTGCAAGACAGCCAATAATTTGAATATAAACGTCATATATTTTGCTCAAGAGATAAAAATTTTGTACATTAGTGTACAGTACTGTAGTACATTTTATAAAAAAATTTTTCAACTGTATTTTTGGGTAGATTTACATAGATTTCTTCATTTATTTTCATCCATTTACATGCACACACCATACTAAAAGAAACGTAAAAGAAATAAATGACCTTAGTGCAAAGCTGGAGTGCACATGTACTAATTTGATTACGGTACTAAAATTGTTTTGTCTAGTGCAAATTATAGCATGTTTATATTCAAATTAATCAGTATCTTACAAGAATCCCAGCAATGTTAATTATATTCACCCAGGTCATGTCACTGTCTTTTTATAAGAGAGAAGCTTAGTCACCTAAGAACTGATAAATATACAGGTACACGCGTCAGACCTTGGGCCGGTGCCCAACTTTCAAACAAACTACAGTAAAACCTCGATTAACCGACCACATATGGAGGGAAGGGACCGACGGATAATCCAAAAGGCCGGTTAATACTAGTACATAAAGTCTACGGAAATAAAACATACATTTTCAAAGTACCTTTCCCTAACCTACCTCATTTAATTCCCTCTATTCATTTTTGTTCATTTGCCATTCATATTTCAATAGATTTTGCTTTAAAACATTAACCACTTTAGTAAATAAATATGAACCAGCACAGAAACCGTGAATAAGAAATGGAAAAGTCAAAGAACATGTGTCATCACAAAAAATGTGACCAAGTCCCAGGTTGCTGATCTGAATTTCTACCTCATTTACACACAATTGCAGGGTCTCAATTGCTTCTCTTACTATTGACAACACAACACACACATATATTGAAGTACAGGAAACTAGTTTTATGCGCGCCAAACAGCCTGTCAACACACCAAACAGGCGTCAGTCTCTGTGTCTTTTCAGTGGAGGTAACATCTTGCTTCAGACTCTATTCAACATAAACGCTTTTTTTCTGTGTTTTCAGTCAGATTATTGGTCATTTTGAAATTTATTTTACATATTGATGATATATAGCGCATTGCAGTGTTAATTTAAAAAAAAT